TCATGTGAATAAGCCCTTTGTGTGGTGCGCGATCTCTGCTCTGTATACTCTGTGGCGGCCGCGCCACGTGCTTGGCGGGCGATCGCGGCGGCGCATATTACGTCACGCCGGGCAGTGGTCAGTGCGGGGGTGTGGCACTGCACGAGTGGAGGTGTGCTTGGGCGCTGCATGCCGGGCGGTGCATGAAAGTGAACGCGTGGCGGCGCTGTGCATCCGCCGGTGTCACCGTGCATGTAATGGCGGCTGCGGCTGCGAATTGACGAGACTGCGCATGGATAAGTGCCTCCTCGCATGCCTTAATGTTCTTTGACAGTGATTAGTGAGGTTTATATTTTCCCCGGTGGTGTCCGGGTGCTGCCGGTGGACCTGTGTCCGGCTCCTCCTCCGCTCGTCGGAGGCGACCTGCCGCTCTGCGGGGCGCCCCCCCGGCGTCAGGGGTCTACTGTCTCCACCGGCTGTATTACACAGCTGGGTGGACGGCACCGGGATCCACATCTCTTAGCTGTCGTCGGCCGGCGTCCGGCCCCGTTCTCTGGCGGCCCCCGGGTGTGCACCCCCTGGAGGATCTGTGGACGATACGTGGTAACCCCCGCTGCCGTAAGCGGGGAGACCAGGTAGGATTTGTTCGTGACGTTACACACGGGGGCAATACTCACGCCGTGTGAGCCCCATCGCCTTGGCGAAGCGAGAGGAGAACACTCTACTCCGCTTTGACATGCGTGTGCGAGTGCACACAATCCGCGGACTGCTATCGCTTCTTTTCGCGGTTAAACTTAAAAAGACCGTTTAAAAGTTGAATGCGTGAAATTCTGTGCAAATTTGACAGGAGCGTTTTCTTCCTTCAACGCGCATAGATTGAATACTAAAGATGCCGAGCTTTTATATTAAATGGCGAGTTAACTGTATACTAAGCAGAAATTATTAGCGGTGAGACATTCGACCTGCGGAAATCGTGTGCTTTAAACGTGAATCGGCGCGCGGTGTCGGATATAGCTGTGTGAGCGGAGCACACACATGTGCACGGGCGGATGTGTTCGCGAGGAAAACGATTGTGACCCCTCCAGTCCGGAGTATAGCAATACACTGCTGCTGTGAGGTTAAGGTGCCTGAGACGGATGCTGGGATTCTGGTGAAGTGATACTGCGGATGGATGTAATTCGATGTTTGCTACGTATGACGTAGCATATGTGATGTCAACCTTATGTTACTGTTACTGTTCCTGATTATACACTAGTTTTGATAAGGCCTGTACAACAGTGAGGATACTGCCTGGAACGAGCTCCTGGACCTAACGATCCAGTATCCTGTATATAGGGAAAAATACTTGTTACATCTGGGCGCCGGATATGCGGTCGTGAGGGATATATACTACTTTACCTGTGCTATCTCTGCGCTGGATGGGATATAGTGTTGCGCATAGGGTGGAGACTACGAACTTGAACTGTCGGACATAAGGTTTATGGATAGGATATATCTTCTTATTGGGCGCTATACTTTGGGAGAATTAGCTAGATATTATTGTCGTTATCATGTAGAAATTGGAATCTGGTAGAGAATACTTGGATTACGAAGATAAGACATTACTACACATTATAATACGCGGGGAGGAAACGAATTAGATTTTGACATCTTAATTGGAGTACAAATGTCAGTTTATTTATGAATAAACGCAAATATTCTGGCCGTGTGCGTGGCCCCGTTGTGCCATTACACGCTGCGTAGCTTAAGGATAGAAATAATATAACAGGTATGAATTATAATATACACAGGATAGATAGAGAATACTTCTCAAAATAAGTAATAGCTGTAGAGACGTCCTGTCACATTGTGAGGAACACGTGCTGCTGTCACACTTGTGCGTGCTGCAAGCCTGTAAAATAATAGTAAAGA